AGGAGGAGATAAAACCAACACATTTGACAATTAAGGCCTCACCTGCCTATAGCTCAATGCCACCATGAGCTTGATCAGCTCTGCTGTCGTCATAACTCTCACAGTAATTGATGGCCTTGTCCTCATCTTGGACCCCAGTGATGGTTAGTGTGCCCATGCTGCCAGAGACAGATCCAGATAATCATGAAAGGATGTCCAAAGGTTTTTCTGATAGATCCCAGTGACAGGGATACTGTCAGGTGCCCTCTGCTGGAACCAGACGTAGGTGTTGTTAATGATGGAGCAGGAGATGCAGGTATTTACTCCTGGGGACACTTACATTGAAGGCACATGAGTAGACCTGCCTAGAGACCAGGAGGGAGAGGAGAGAGGGCAGATGATGGGGTCAGCAAGTGCCCCAGGAGCACAGCACTTCCTGGGCAGGGGGACCATGATAGATCTCCTGTGCCAGGGGCTGCAGGGCAGGAAGTCTCCAGTCCAGGGAGCTCATTGGGAGATGATGTGTGGCAGAAAGAATGGATGAATCTCCAGTACACATTGGGCTGGTGAGATGCACCACCATGGAGACCAGAGGCAGGGCACTGCTGGGGCACGGGGCATGAACTCCACCAGGGCCTTTCAAAGACCAAATATGCCCAAGTAACATCCTCTTCCCCACATACATCCTGTCGCCACAGCAGCATGAAGCACCCAGGGCACGTGGACTCTGGCCCTTGGCTCCTCCGCACCCCTTGAGATAAGTCAGGAATGTCCACAAAGGCAGCCCAGGCCCAGAGTTGTCAGTGTGAATAGAGGGCTGGTGGTGCACAGGAGGTACATAGTGCCTGGCAGCTCACAGCCTGCAGTGGAAACACCTTCTCAGAGCCAATGGATCCTTTCCAGCCAGGGTTTCCCCTAAGCCTGCTCATGCCCATGGAAAGGTACTCAGGCACAAGAGGGACAGTAACTACCCCTGCCCAGCAGAATGGTAATACTGTGCAACGGAAATCATCACTTGCAGGACCCAGCGCAAGGATGGAGGTGACCAGCATCACACACCAACACTGCACTGGCAGCACCAGAGAGGAAGCGGCATCAGAACAGAGATGCAGAAAAAGCCCTGCAAAGGCAGAGCTGAAAGAAGTACAAGTGCAACAGGGCACTGACTGCCTGCTCTCTGCAGCTTTTCCCCATGAATGGGAGGTGTAGGAACAAACAGAAAGGAAAAAAGTAATCTTGGCATCACCATGACCCTGACCAGCACTAGTGCTGCTGTCCCAGCCACCACAGTAATAGACGGCCTCGTCCTCGGCTTGGACCCCAGTGATGGTTAACGTGCCCGTGGAGCCAGATGTAGACCCGGAGAATCGCGAAGGGATGCCCGAGGGTCTCTTGTCGTTGTAGTAGATCACAGTGACAGGGGCACTGCCTGGTACCTTCTGCTGGAACCAGCCATACCAGCTGCTACCACCAGAGCAGGTGATCTGGACGTCCTTTCCTGGCTCCACTGACACTGATGAGGGCTGAGTCAGCGCTGCCTGGACCAGGGAACCTGGAGCGGGAGAGGAGCGAGGGAAGATGGGGGTCAGCCAGTGCCCAGGAGCACAGCCCTGCCCGGGCAGCAGGACAGGGCCCCTGTGCACGATGCTCCTAAGGGCACAGAGACACCCCAGCCCCACAGATAGAGCCCAAGGAGTGAGCCCTTCAGGCTTCTGAGGATTGCTGGGAGAAGAAAGAGGACATGCCTGCCAGCAGCATGAAGCAGGAGGCAGAAAAAGGCAACACAATTCCTTTCGTAAGGACAGGCGCAGGCCCAGGGTCACGTCCTACATGGTGTTGTATAGTCAGGAGCACGTTCACAGCCGTGGCGAGGTAGAGGGGACATGAAGCTGTTGCAGGCCTAAAGCCCAGCTCCCCAGTGAAGCAGGACAGAGATTCTCCTCTGTTGCTCACTTTCACATCTCTCTGCATCACACCAGCATCAGTACTGCTGTCGTAACCACCACAGTAATAGACGGCCTCGTCCTCGG